TGTTCCAAATCTACAGGTGACCATGGAAGCGACTTAGCAGGAACACGTCTGGCTTCCCCAGGTCAAGTCAAGGGCCGGATTAAAGACTGGTTAAGTATCAGTGTTTTCAATGTGAGTTGACTGTTTCTCTCCTCTAGAGCCAGAGAATTGGGGCACAGGTGAATATGAGACTAATAGAGACCAGAAACTGGAACCTCAGATTCCCAAACCCTGTCTACCCATGTCACTGAGCAATGACGTGGGGTGCCGTTCAAGCCACAAAGAGAGGCCTTGTTTTGTGGGCATTTGTAATTGACCTGGGTTAATGTTTCTAGCGTATAAAGCGCACATTTCTGTTTGCATTTCTGAGGCATTTTTCTCCTCCACCATCTGTCTTCTCAACTTCTATGACTAAGTGAGCCCTGCTTGGTGGCAGCTGATAAGCTAAACCTTATAAAGGGTACACTTGCGGGTGTAGTGACTCATGCCTGTAATCCTAGTCTGCTGGGAGGCTAAGGCAGGAGGATGGCCCATGCTCAGGAGTTCAAGACCACCCTGAGCAAGAGCTAGATCCCTATCTCTACTAAAAAATAGAAAAATTAGCCAGGCATGATGGCACTTGCCTATAGTCCCAGCTACTGGGGAGGCTGAGGCAGGAGGATCACTTACACCCCAGAGTTTGAGGTTGCTGTGAGCTAGGCTGAGGCAATGGCACTGTAGTGTGCATGACAGAGATTCTGTCTCAACAACAGAGTACACATAAGGTATTGGCCCTTGATGAGGTATCAAAACTGCACAGGATTAATCGATTTTGCTTTTAACTTATTTTTGCTTTTTCTAATATAAAGCAGAACATTTGTGGGAGTAAAATAAATAAGAAGGGAGGAAGATTTCGAAATTGATGCTACCTTCTCTGTATATGACTTGAAAATATTACCTCTCTATTCTGGCCAAACCTCTTAGCCTCTTTTTTTAGTTTTAGATCCTGGTAGAAAAGATGAGCTGCAATCTGCCAGAATACGTAAAAATACAAGTCTGACTTGCTGTGCACAATAACTGCCGCTGAAAATTAAAACCTGCAAGTGAATTGTACTAGCAGAATCAGTCGTTTAAAAGGAATGTCCCCCTGCCTTATCTGTTCTCGTGATTGAATATTTACTATGTGAAGATGGTGCACTTGCAGAAATCCTAATGGCAAGAAGTGCTTCAGCGGCATTTCACAAACTTTTAATATCCATGCTTTCAGGCCGTCAACCAATATTTACTGCTAAATACCTACTAAGTTCTAAGCCCTGTGCAGATACTGAGAGTGCAGTGATGAACAAAATGGTATCTAGACCGGGCATAGCGGCTCACACCTATAATCCCAGTACTCTGGGAGCCCCCAGATGGCGGATTGCCTGAGCTCAGGAGTTCAAGACCAGCCTGATTAGGAGCCAGACCCCTATATCTACTAAAAATAGAAAAACGAGCCAGGCGTTGTGTGTAGCAAGCACCTGTAGTTCCAGCTACTCAGGAGGCTGAGGGAGAGAATCACTTGAGCCCATGAGTTTGAGGTTGCTGTAAGCTATGATGCCACCACACTCAAGGGCAACAAAATAAGACTCTGTCACCAAACAAACAAACAAACCAAAAAACAAGTATCTGCTCTCCTGAAACTTGAACTCTGTACGTGGAAGATACAGATATGAGCAAGCCAGCCTCCAGAGTTGCCAGATTAAACCTGGACGCCCCATAAAAGTTTGTTTTTAGAGCATACAGTGATTTAAAATTTATTATTTATTATTTATTTATTTTTGCAGTTTTTGGCCAGGCCAGGTTTTGAACCCATCAATGCCAGTATATGGGGCCGGCGCCCTACTCCTTGAGCCACAGGTGCTGCCCCTATTTTTAATTTTTTAATCTTTTGATTTAATTTCAGAATATTGGGAGGTACACATGTTTTGTTTACCTACTTTGCCTGTTGTACAGATTAAGTCAAAGTTGTAAGTGTGCCATTCATCCAGACAGTGTGCCCTGCAGCCAGGGGTGTGCATTGACCCGTCCCCTCCACCCCACTCCTCCAGCTTGATTTTCATTAAC